GCAGGTGGACTAGGGTGGAGGCAGGGTCTTTATTGTAGAATTTAAAATTGTGAAATAATTTAGGCGTATAAAAAAGTACAAAAGCATGTAACCGACTCTTGTGTAACTACTCCAGGTGTGTAGTTGTTAACATTTTGCCACATTGACTACATATCTCCTCTTTTTTGAAGGACTAAATGCAAGACTGAAGCCACACCCCATCTCCCCCCCTCTACTTTTCAGAGACAATTCTGTATTTCCTGCTCAAATGTATATATTTGTGCTTTTACTATATGTGTGTTCACAAACAGTATACACTGATATTTTTGTATCAAAATTTCATACAAATGGTAGAACACTGCGTTAGCCTTTCTTTTTTAGCTCAGCATTGTATTTTTTAGATAGGAACCATTTTGATGTGTGGGTCTTACTCCATCCTTTTTGCTACTGTATATATAGGATTTCTTTGTGTGCCTAAGCAAAATTAATTTTTCCTACTTTCCGCCTGTGCTGTCTACCTGGCGATGGTAGACAGGACTGTCTTAAATATCCTTCCTGGAACACATGTGAATGTTTCATAGGTATATATTTACAAGGTGCATTGCTTGGCCACAGGGTCAGTGCACACTTAAACTTAGTGGGAAACTGCTCTCTAAAACTCTTAAGAAGAAAAAAAGAGAAGCTAAACTTTGATCATTTCATTACTCTCGAAATATGTGCAGAAAATTCAAGGCAGGGTGAAATGAAAAACTGGGGTCCAGATCCTGCATAGTTATCATGATACAGCGCTGTGATGGTTAATACTTGTGTCCTTTATTGGGGTAGTTTCCTAAAATGAATACTTAACCTGAGTCATTTTTAGCTGTCCTTTTCCTCTCCAGTAATGTTTGGAAGCATTCATATTTCTTTGAAATTGAAATAAATTTTTTGTTGCATGTGCTCATACACCACTTAAAGGTCCTCTTTATTTAGAAATAAGTGGAGTAAATTATTGTTTTTAAAAAACAGTAAAGTTCTAATCCCAGGAATTTTCTGGAGATTGCCATTTAATTTCATTTAATGGTATTATATTATTCTTTTATTTAAACTATGCTAAAGGCACAGAGCATTCGCTGACAGTAATGACTTACTAGGGTTAGCAGTTTATAGCCAAGGGTACCGGGCTGTTGTAATATACAGCTTAGTGTTTTCAGCTGTGGGTGAAGCTGAACATGTGTATCAGATTTGGATGGTACATCTGATTTTCATATTATTATGTGTTCCTTGATTAGTTTAAATTTGTATCTAAAAGCTTGCTATTATAATCCATTGAACAACATTATTCATTCAACAGATATTTATTGACTGTTATGTATAGTTTAGGAGCTTATATTCTAGTGATGAGGACATTCAGTAAACACAGATGAATGCATCATTGAGAGGTTCACTAAATAACGAAATCAGATAATCTCTGGTAAAGTCACATAGGTCATGGCAGGAGGAAGATGGTGGCCTGGCTGTGCCTGTTAGCTAGGCTGGTCAGGTAAGAGGTGCCACCTGAGTTAAAAGTGCTTTGTGTCGGACCATTTTTTTGCTTTGCTAAGCTATGGTGTGGCTATGTTTCCTGGCTTTGGCCCCCTCCTCTGCCTTGGGGAGGCGAATCTCCTCTTTCTTCCTCAAATTTACTTTCTAAATAGACTATATTTTCTAATCTAAAAACAAAACGAAACAAAACAAGTGCTTTGTGTCCCCAACTCTCAGTGCCTGCCTGCTGGTACCCAGTAACTATTGGTTAACTTTCACTTGTATACAACAGTCTGGTGATGGTAGTTATTCTGAATATGGTTAAGAACTCAGAGATAAAACAGCGCTCAACAGCCAAAATTATTTTCATAAAGCTAGAGGTGAAAAAGCTCATATGCTTTCCCATTTCAGGGCTTTTGTCATGCCAACACATGTGGTTTTCTCTGTCCCCAGCATGTTAGAAGTCTAACTAGGGTTTGGGTTGAGAATTGAGGTCACAGTGGTGAGTGGTGTCTGAATGCCTCTATGGCCTGTGAGAAGAGGGCCAGCCAAGGAGACGGTAGAACTCAGAAGAGTGATGGCCTGGCGCCTCCAAAGAAGGCTCTGGGGCCTTCCGTGTACTGTGGTTCAGTCTGTCGATTTATGTTTCATAACCCCGGTTATTTGCTTTAAGGAGTCTGAAAAGCATATAGTAGACCTTTGGAAGTCTTACATCTAAATCGTTTAACACAAAAACAATAATAATTAAAGAATTAGACTTTAGTTCTAGACAGCTGGGTATATTGAGGAATTGGGTTTTAAAGGTAACTGTACTTAGGAAATAATAAATATGTTAGAGATAGCACCATAACTTGTAGTTTAATAAACAATAATGGCATTTGTATAACTTCCAGATAGGATGATTATATTTCTGGGCACAGTTTTCAATATGAATTAATAAAGTCCCATTTTATAGTTGGTAATGTAAGATAAACATAGTTATGTGTTCGACCATATTCACACAATTAGGGGGGTACAATAAGAATTGGATTTAGAGCCTGTTCATTTCTAATCCAAAGATTCTTTAGCTAAACTAGTTTAGAAGCCTTCATTCTGTGTGACTTCCATTTAGGAATGGGGACCAGATCCAGTTGATTTCTACTAGGCTCAGGTTTACAGGGTAGCCCAACTGTATCATGTTATAAGTTCTCCCCCCAGACTCGTAGAGGGTGAGGTGCCATGAAGTTGGTACTGAACAGGTGAATGCATGAGACCATGTATCGGAAGGATAGCAAATTGGTTTTTAATTATGGAAGACCGTTCGTTATGAAGGTGCCCAAGCAGATGTTTGAGATGTTTTCCCTCTGCAGTTTGCTTGATTCTCCAGATCTTGCTGTGGCTCCATTGAAGATTTCTCCTACTCCCACCTGTCCCCCAGCACCTCTAGCCTGCTCCCCACTCCCCAATTGCCCCTAAACTTGCCGGAGTTAGAATAGGTAGTAAAAGATTCTAGTAAGTTTATGGCTGCTGGAGTGTTCATAGGTTCCTGCCATCTGTCCTCTTGTTGTCTTGCTTGGAAAACAGAGCCCCCTCCCCAAACAACACTTCCATATTGTGTGTGAGGGTTTCTGTAAACCAGAAAGTCAACATATTAAAGCGCAATTCATAGGGGAGTTGCTGGCTGTGTTGACTGAGCTTTACAGTCATTTTAACACTGGCAGAAGTGTTATCCTAACTGCTTCAAATCAAACTGCAAAGATGCTTGTGTGAAATATAGTATTAGATATCAAATCAAACATATGGGTGTTGAACGGGAGGATGTGTGTTGTAGTGGTGTATGGTATTCTAGCATGTGGAGTTGTATTTTATGGAAATTCGTTGGCTTGGCTTATGGCAGGGACATACATTCATTATGAGATATCAAGCTGTAAAATAAATAAAAGCAAAGAATTCAACTGTGCTGTTAAATGGTTTTCAATGCAAACTTGTCTGCTCCAGAACTTGGGCTCAGTGTGAGGAGAGGCGCTGGGAGCCATTGTGGCCATGTTTTTCCTGATCCTTGTGGGTAGGTCTTGAAAACAATCTGGATTGGATTGAAAGGAGTAGGAACTTTGGCTTTTCATTTTTGTCCCCTTTCAGCCCCATTGTATGTGTTATGAATTACTGTGCTAATTTGTCTTAGAGGCTAAATGTTTTAATCCTTTTCTTTGTTACCATTCCTTCTTTTTCCTCATTCAGTATTTCTGTAGCAAATTTGGTTTTAAGTGTGTATCTGGAACTCGTCATTATTTTCTTAAGTGTGTGCATTTGTGGGACTTTAGTTCTTGGAGTCCACAAATGGACCATATTGTGGTATTAAACAGAATGACTTCGCCATTCTCATCTCCGGAGTGCTTTTTGCTGTCCTGATATCTTGTTTTGCTTTTCCTTTCCTGCTCTCTTGCAATTAGAAAAAAAGTCAGTAGACTTCTCATTTAAAAAAATTAAAAATACTATCAATGGTATATTTAATGCATGAGGAAGAATTTTCCTCGGAACAATGTTTTTGAGGATTTTTAAACTACTGTAAATTAGAGATAGAAAAGACTGATTTAGGCTGTTTTTGTCTATATTGCTAGCATTTACAGTATAGTTCACTGGGCTTTACTTTGTTACCTGTTTTATCAACTAAGAAAATATTGTCTGCTGGGCTCGGAGGCTCAGCCTGTAATCCCGCGCCTTTGGGAGGCTGAGGTGAGTGGATTGCCTGAGCCCGCGGGTTCGAGACCCACCTGGGCAGCGAGACCTCATCTCTACAATAAATAAAAAAATCAGCCAGGCATGGTAGCACACACCTGTAATTCTGGCTACTTGGAAGGCTGAGGCGGAAGGATCGCCAGAGCCCAGCAGATTGAGGCTGCGATGACCAGGAGCAGCCACTGCACTCCAGTCTGGGCGACAGAGTGAGACTCCAACTCAAAAAAAAAAAAAAAAAGAAAAAGAAAAAGAAAATATTGTCCTTAGCAAAAATAGTACATAGAATTGCTAATATAACTGGTACATATCTGTCATAAATGCAATTGCTGTGTTCTTTTTTGTTCTGAACTTAGAAACAAAAATGTACCATGTAATGCACCCAAGTCACAAACATTCTACAAATACTAGTTAACTTCCATTGTTTGATTTCATTTTCATTTTCACTGTTACATTGAAATGGATTTAAAATAATGCTTCTTTGACTTTCTTTGCAGAGGCTGTTTTTTTATGTCAGTATTAGGAGCTATTTTTTCCCCTACTAGATTCTTATGACATTATCAGCAGTTGATATCTGATAAAATGATTGTTTTTAAAGCAAAGTCAAATTGTCTTTTGATGTCTTTGATAGTAAATGAATAGAAGGCAGCATGTCGATGTGAATAATGAAGAGGATTGAAAATATTGAATTCATTTCCTTAGCAGAGAACCCCCTTTCTGTTGCTGCATTGAAACCGTATCCATATTTGATTTTATTTAATTGCACATTTTGACTTTCTCATTTGCTTTGCTTGACTTTTTGACAGATGCCACCTCAGTATGGACAGCAAGGTGTGAGTGGTTACTGCCAGCAGGGCCAACAGCCATATTACAGCCAGCAGCCGCAGCCCCCGCACCTACCGCCACAGGCACAGTATCTGCCGTCCCAGTCTCAGCAGAGGTACCAGCCGCAGCAGGTGAGCACAGCCCACTCCCTCCAGGTCTCTGTTTTCTCCTCCAAGGCAGACCAGGTCCAAAGCATCATCCTGTTCTTTTTAAAATCTATGTTCTCAGTGGAGAAAAAAATGCAGTTTTGACAAAATGCACAACTATAATCTAATTTGATTCCCTCCTTCCCTACCCCTCTTCCCTCCCTCCCTTCACTCACTTCCCTCACTTCCTTCCTCCATATTTTGAGATTGAAGTGTGGGAAGAATGCCTAGTTTAATAGCTGCTTGCATTACTGGTTAGTGGCAGCAGAAAGTGTCAGTCATTTCTTGTTCTCTGTCATTTGTGTTCTGAATCTTTTAAGAAAGTGCTTTGCCACTTTGTTAAGGCTTATTCAGGAGAAGGATTTTATCCATCATTTAATCCTGCTGGTTGGTGCATGCTTGGTATTTCTATCCTGACCTTTTGTTTGTTTGTTTTGTTTTAATGGCAGCTGCTACTGCATCAAAACATTGTTGCCTTTGGCAGTATTATTCTCCTTAAACTAGCTTATAAACAGATAGTCACTTTAATTGCAGTATATTAAAATACTAATGGGAATCATATCCTTTAAATATATTAAGTAGTTTCTAGTTTAAATTAGCCTCATTAAATACTCTTTTAGGCTTTTTGGGGCTATATATTTCAGCATACACGATTTGTAGAAAAATAGTCCATCCATATGTTTGGTAAAATGATTCAGTTCCATTTTGTTTTAGAGGCAGTCACTCATGAGCGATATGAAAAGAAGTTGTGAACGAGGGACTCTTACTCTAAATTCAGATAAAACTCTCATAGCACTTCTCATCATAAGCATCAAAATGTAACTTCGCATTTTAATGTTTTCTTCTCTTCTTTCTGTTTTGTGTGGTGGGGGTGAAGAGAAGATGAGCACATGGGGTCTGGTTTTTTCATTTTAAAGGGCTTCTTATATGACTTTAATAGATTGTGGATATTAAGCTAAATAACTAAATACATACATACATGGAGCTTAACTGTGATCAGTTATGCTAATTTCTTAAGTATTTTCTTTGGTTTGTTAGCATCTATTCCCATGTGACTTTTATTAAGGAATTTATGACTTTAAGCAGAACGTTAAAACACTAGCTGAGATTCAGGATCCAGTACAATTTTGTTTTTTGTATATATGTTTTGCAAATTGTGGCAACATATTTGGAATTTGTAGATGTAGGAATGTATATCATTTCAGTCTTATCTGGTCAAGACTTTTATTAAAGTGTGTGAAAATTTTAAAACATTTAGCATCAGTTCTTCTTAGATGAGAGAAAATGGTATTTGGCTTTTCAAGGTACCAAAGCTTTTTCAAGGGTTTTCAGAGCCTTATTGAACTTATCTGTAGACATAGAATGTTTTGTCATGTCATCAAAATTTAAGGACTCAATAGAGAGATTACATTACTCATTTTACTGTAGTGTGCTGAAATGAATCTGATTGTAAAACCAATTTGATTAAGGATTCTAAATGCCTGTCATTTCTTTCAAGAGCAAGTACAAAATTTACTTCCTTTATGAAGTATTCACTGATGACTTCCAGCACATGGCAATTAGTTATTTAACGTCTCTCACATTTAAATATTTAAAGCATACGACAGGTAGAATCTTATTTTAATGAATACTATTTTAATATACTTAGTGGGGATATCTTAGGCTTTGATTATTACTATCAGTTTTATTGATTTGAATACAATAAATTATATGGTGAGAAATACCATATAGCTATGACTTTTTAATGTAAGTGTGGCCATTTTAGTATATAAGTGTTCTGAATAAAATCAAACACTCCTCAAAGAGTGCTGGAATTTTTTTTCTTGTGTTCACGCTCTCTAGCTATAAGATGTCTGAGTATTTTAAATTTTCATTATAATCATTGTTAGACGAAGAGTGTAAGTTGGAGATGTACATGTATATGGTCTAATCAGATGGTCTGGCTTGATAGTAGCAGTCCTGGTTTTTAGGAAGTTAGATGAGCAGATAGATTTGGAAGATTTTTCAGGGAAATGAGATCTAGTATTATAGTCATAGTTAGCACCCCCAAACCCAAATCTATCCTAAAGTGAAGTAAAAATTAGCATTAGAATAGTACCAAAATCAAGTTAACTTTTAACAGGAATTTGTGATAATGAGTTCATATATATTTAAAAACCTAAGAAACCCTGCCATATTTAGTTTAATCAACTAGTGTTTTGCAACAATCAGAACATTTCTTTATGCAGACTTTCCTTTTGTTACCAAATGTAGTTTGCATAATCTGTTGATTTTATATAAGGTAGTCAGTCAGCAAATAATACTTTGTGTCTTTTGGTAATGTGATTGATACCGAAGGTAACTTTAGGGATTCCATTAAGATACTCACTCTGTGTCTGTAGCTTTTTTTAATACATTTAATGCTTTAACTAATCAATACATTCATTTGTTTCAAAAATTTAAAAGCACAAGGAAAAGACACGAGAAAAGTCTTTTTTCCAACTTAGTCTGCTCTGCCTGCATCACCACCTCTACCCTTTGCCAGAGGCACACTTTATTAGTTGATTGTATTCTTCTGGAGTTTCTTTATATAAAGAAGCACAATACTGCATTTTAATTTTTACCCGATTTGTACACAAATGATGGTATATATATAATATAATACACTATATGCGTTCTTCCAGTTTTTTGTTATACCCATACCCTACCTACTTAAATATATTTTTTGGCGCTCTTTCCAAAGAAGTCCATAGAATAATTCCTCATTCATTTTTATAGGTTCTTTCCATTCTATGGGCATAACATAATATTTTTAACTTGTTCTTTTTAATGGACATTTAGATTTGTTTTGTTCTTTGAATTGAAACAGTACTGCCATGTGTATGTATCATTTTATAAGAGGATAGTAATATCTGTAGGCTAACTTCCTGAGAGTGACACTGCTAGGCCCAAGTACGTATGTATTTGCATTTGTAATACCAATAGATAAGGCCAGATTGCTTCCCTTAGAGGTTGTACCAGTGTGTACTCCCGCCATCTATGTGTGAGAGAACCTATCTCCACACATGTGCCAATAGCATGGTTTTACAAAGCTTCTGGATTTTTGCCAGTGTGGTACAGGTTGAGCATCCTTAACCCGAAAGTCTTGAAATCTGAAATGCTCCAAAATCTGAATTTTTTCGAGCACTGACATGACCCTACAAGTGAAAAATTCCACATGTGACCTCATATGATGAGTCACAGTCAAAACACATATATAAAACATTGTTTCATTCACAAAATTATTTAAAAATATTGTGTAAAATTACTGTCAAGCCACGTATAAAAGGTATATATTAAATATACACGAATTTTATGTTTAGATTTGGGTCCCATCTCCAAGATATCTCATTATGTGTATGCAAATATTCCAAAATCAGACCCCAAGTATTTCAGATAAGTGGTACTCAATCTGTAATGTAGTTTTAGTTTACATTATCTTGTTATGAGTAATGTTGAGCATCTTTGTATATATTTAAAATATTTGCATTTCTTTTTTCTGAACTGTTCATTCATATCTTATCTTGAGTTTTTTCTATTCAGTTGGTGTTTAAAAATGAATTTATAAAACTCTTTGTTTATAGGGATTCTGGACCTTTGTCTATGATATGAGTTATTAACTACCCTCTTGTCATTTGTCTTTTGACATTAATTATGGTAGGTTTTTTTGTCATGTAGAAGAGTTTTCTTTTTAAAAATTTGTATATAGTCAGGCTTATTAATCTATTATATGACCTTTAGATTTTATTTTTAGTGAGAGTTCAAAAGATATTTTATAGTATAAGGTTATAAGGAAGCTTTCTCATTTTATTTTGTAGTATTTTCATATATTCATTTGTATATTTTACTTACTGTAATTTATGGAGAGCTATGGTCCGACTTAATTGTTTTTTCCCTAGAACTTGGTTGTTTAAATACATTCTCTTGAGTAGGCTACTGTTTCGTTGTTGTTGTTGTTGTTGTTGTTTTGAGTTGGAGTCTCACTCTGTCGCCCAGACTGGAGTGCGGTGGCCGCTCGCGGCCACTGCAGCCTCGGCCTGCTAGGCTCCGGCGATCCTTCCGCCTCAGTCTTCCAAGTAACTGGAACTACAGGCGCACACTACCGCGCCTGGCTAACTTTTGATTTATTGTAGAAACAAGGTCTTGCCAAGTTGTCCAGGTGGGTCTTAAACCCGTGGGCTCAGGCAATCCACTAACCTCGGCCTCCCAAAGTGCTGGGATTACAGGCTGAGCCACCGAGCCCGGCTGGCTATTGTTTTAGTCAGAGTTATCTTATATTAGTATTTTCCAGAGAGACAGAATCAATGGGATGTGTATAATATACATGGAAAGACATTTAGTACTGTGTAGGGGATTGGCTCACACACTTAAGGATGCTGCAGGCCTAGAATCTGAAGGGTGGGCCAGCAGGCTGGACACCGAAGAGAGCCCATGGTGCAGATGAAGTCCAGAGGCATGCTGCTGGAGAATTCCCTCTTTCTTAGGGGAGACCGGTTTTTAAAATTCTAATCAGGACTTCAGACTCTTGGATGAGATCCATTCACATTATGGTTAGCAGTCTGTTTTACTCAGAGTCACCAATTTAAATTGTTAATTTAATCCAAAATCACCTTCTAAGATCACACATAAAATTAACCATTGTAGCTATCTTTTCCCCATTGCCTGGAGATGCCACCAAAAATCATTTTCCGAATTACCTTTGGTGTATGGTATATGGGGTTATTTGGGATTTCCATTAGTCCTTCCAGTATATCCTCATTATCCTTTTGTCAGAGTTTTCTTAGCTGTTTGTGTTTACTTATTTTTTTTCATATGAACTTCTTATTATGTTGTTTCCTAAGAATTTTGTCTTATTGTTATTATAATAGTATCTTTTATTTCATTATGTCTTTTTCTGTTTCTGTGAAACAGAAGGTATTTATGAAGGAATAACAGAAGACTAACAGAAGTACCTTACTTGAAGTAAG